TAGCATGCTCTTGTGATCACAACTACTACAATAGAAAGTATAGGATAGGCAAGTCACACTCCATGCTCAGGACTGGGCAGGACAAAAGACCGTATCTTAAAAATAACCAGTGCAAAAAAAGAAGGAGGAGGAGGGGGAGGAGGAGGAGGAAAAGGAGGGAGGAGGAGGAGGAGAAAGACGAGGAAGAGGGAGGAGGAGGAGGAAGAGAAGGGCTGGAGTGTGTGGCTCACTGGTAGAGTGCCTGCCTTGAGAGCACAAGACCCTGAGTTTGAATCCCAGTCTTAAATAAAAAAGAAAAAAATTATGAATAACAGCTGCAGTTGCCAAAAGTCTGTATAACCCTGGGCCCGTCACTTGAGACTTGTGAGTTTCAAATTTGAAAGAAAGGGATCTCAGTGATTCTAAACTGAGGAGGTATTGCCCTCCACAGGCATTTCTAAATGTCTTCACTGTCAAGGCACCAGTGCTCACTTCCCTACAAAGAGCACAGAGCATTTCCTGCAAAATGAAGAAGTGCCCTGCTCCAAGTTCCAGAAACAACCTCCATTACCTTCCATGTCCCTTCTTACAGCCAGTGACAACATGTGTCTGCCCATTCATCAGTACATCTACTGACGAAATATTACAAGCCTACTATATACTGAACTCTCATCCAAAGATCCCAGAAACCCTGTCTTGGTTGTATTCTTCTATTCTTTCTCTTCTTCTAAATGTCTCCCCCTACCCACCTGACATCCTCCCCCATTACTTACAAGTAAGGATTGTCTAAATAACCTAATAAAGAGATGGATAAACCTAATAATTAACTGAATAAAGAAATACAACCTAGGACTGATGAAGTGCTCTGGGATTTCTAACAACACTTAAGAGAGGACATTCAAGTCAACCCCTTCGAAGGCTGGACAATGCTCAGGTTTGCCCTCACTCATTCAAGAATGGAGGCCGCGGCATCACTGGTGGAGAGCTGCTGCCAGTAAGTGGAATCCGTTGTGGACCATTTAGTGGAATTCTTCAACTCAGTTCGATCACTTTTAATTCTAAAAAACAAAACACACCAACTGTTTTATGCCCAGTGAGCAGTCTCCACTGGCAAGCTGAGATTTCCTAATATGCTTTCAGTGGTGGTATCTGAGGTCAGTTGTAAAAGCTGCCTAGCATATATTGCCCCATCCAGCAGGCTCATTAACTTACATTGCTAATTACTGTGCAGAGAGTAAAGGTAGGCTGCTGTATGAGCCTACTGGCTGCCACACCCTGCACAGTCTCCCCAGGAATGGCTTACTCCTGACCCTATCCCTAACCCTCCCAGTACTACTGGATAATCAATGGTGCGTCCTCTCTGTGACCCTCTCAACCTCCCAGCAACCCTGGGGACACCTGCCTAATCTGAATTCATATTGCACTTTGCAAGGGAGAATACCAGTGCACTGAGGTGCATGAGGGTTCGCTTGGATCACGAAGAGTTACGGTGATACAGAGGATTTTTCAGTGCTGTTTAAGCTACCAAGAGGCCCTCTGACATTTGAAGATACTTTGTGAATATCCAAACTTAGGTCAGCCTTTCATGGATTTTTGGATATTCATTTTGACCAGTTTTGGTCATTAAAAATCTCACAATTTGTCAATAGGAAGGAGAAGCAGGGTACAAGAAAATTGTCAAGCAGAACCTGAACTCATTTGTGGATTCAAGAGGCAGGCTGGCTTGCTTGTTTCCTTCCTTCCTTCCTACCTTCCTTCCTTCCTTCCTTCCTTCCTTCCTTCCTTCCTTCCTTCCTTCCTTCCTTCCTTCTTCCCTTCCTTCCTTCCTTTCCTCCTTCCCTCCTTCCCTTCTTCTTTCTTATGCCATTTATGGAGCTTGAATTCAGGGCCTGATCACTATCTCTGAGTTTTTTTGCTCAAGGCTAATGCTCTACCAGTTGAGCCACACCTTCACTTCTGGCTTTTTGGTAGTTAATTGGAGGTAAAAGTCTTATGCACTGTATTCCTTCCTTCCCCCTCCCTCCCCTGCCCCGGCCTGGCTGCAAGCTGCAATCCTTAGATATAAGCCTTCTGAGTAGCTAAGATTGAAGGCATGAGGTTTTCTTGAGGTAACACATTAATGCATGGCAGAAGGAGGGAGATAGAGGAGTGAAGGCCTTGAGGTAATCCCAGAGGGCTTGTGCCAGGTAGGAGAGGGTAGTAGATCAGTCTGGGTGGCATGATGACATATGACAGATGCTTAGAAACTGCAAGTGATGGAACTGTGTCATCACAGGATGTAGGCGGTGACAGCCACTGTCCAGTGCTGGCTGCGGCGTGGTGAGGGCCTCGTGCCTGGGATACTAGCAAGCAGTTCTGCGGGCCAGTGGGATAAAGCACATTTCCCATTTGGTACACAGAGTCTGTAGTCTTGCGGGACATCAGTTTGTCTAGTAGAGACTCTGCCTTGGGAAATACTACCAGAGCAGTAAAGACTGGGCCAGTTCCATGGTGCCCAAAGAACAGGCTGGAAGCCAGATTTGCAGACAGGATCTGAGGGTCAAATCCTTCACAAAATGCTCCTTTACTCTTTTCTTTTTATACTTTCCTGAGACTTGGCTGTGTAGCCCCACTTCACTTTAAACTCTCGATCCTCTTACTTCTACTTGCTTCCTGAGTGCTAGTACTATAGGAATGCACCACCACACCTGGTTAAAAATTACTGGCATGGGGCTGGAAAAGTGGCTCAGTGGTAGAGTGCTTGCCTTGCATGCATGAGGCCCTGGGTTCGATTCCTCAGTACCACATAAGCAAAAAGAAAAAAGCTGGAAGTAGCGCTGTGGCTGAAGTGGTAGAACCTTGAGCTGAAGAGCTGAGGAACGCGACCAGGCCCAGAATTCAGGCCCCACGACCGGACCCCCCCAAAAAAAAATTACTGGCATGTGTAGTATTTCTGAATTTCTCTCTGATCAGTGGAGACAGGTGTTGAGATAGTCTTCATCCTACCAGGAAAGAGCTTCCTGTGTTGGTGAGAGTCTAAGGTCTTGCAGCAGCAAGTAAGGCTTTGTACTGCAATTCAGGTTTTCTGGCTTCTAGCACAGAGTTTTCTCCACTTCACCACATTCTTTCTCTACCTGAGTAAAGTCAACGGCACCAACTCTCGGGACCTTATGTCAGATGAAATCTCATGGTTGTGCCAAGTATATAAAAATGAAATCAGAGTTGCTTTTTTTATCTATTCTCGGTCAATCTTATGAAATATCCTTTTTAAAATATCATTATTTTAATTATTTTTTAAAATATTAACACTACAATTGATTCACTACAGTGATTCTGTTTTCTTATTTTTTGTTTTTCTGCTGGTCCTGGGGCATGAGATTTATGCCTGAGCACCATCCCTGGGCTCCTTTTGTTCAAGGCTAGTGCTGTACCACTTGAGCCACAGTGCCAATTCTAGCTTTTTCTATGATTAATTGGAGATAAAAGTCTCACAATTTTCCTGCCTGGGCTGACTTTGAACCGTAATCCTCAGATCTCAATCTCCTAAGTAGCTAGGATTACAGGCATGAGCTACCAGCACCTGGCTTGATACTCTTTTCTTTTTAAATCTTTATTGAAAAGGTGATGTGCAGGGGAGTTATAGTTACATAGGGAAGGTAAAGAGTACATTTGTTTTTAAACACTAGTACCCCATCCCTGCTTGTTTTTCTTTTAAGAGTAAATGACAGGAGCAGATTGAGTAACTCTTATTGATAGGAGGGAAACAATTGGGAAAAACAAAGTTTAACCTTTGTCTAACTTCTAGTAAATGATAAACTGTTCTAAGATGCCTGATCCCTCACCCCTCATTCCAGGAACTATTTCTAAAGTAATGTGTCATCAAAAGTGTCCCCAAGGGTGCTCCTCAGTCCTCAGGTGTTCCCTGGGAGCCTGCCAGAGCCCCAAGAAGTCCAACTGCCAGGAACACAAAGCAGGCAGGAGAATCTTCACCGTTTGCCTGTCATATCAATTGTCATCTCCTTTTCCTCTCTAGCCCAACGGGTTACCAGAAGCAAGCTGGCTCCAGGGAGGAGGCCTCCAAAAGAAGGGATATCCCTTTAGTATATGACTACTTAGTTTGTAAGGTTACAAAAAAAAAGAATTTTAAGATACATTAGAGACCAAAAATGTGTATTACCAAAAAAGAAAAGAAAAAAGGATAATACATAGCCCAGACAGGACGCAGGCATGTCTGGTAACAGGCCCAGTGAATGCTCTAATGTCAAGGGTGTTTGTGATGAAAAAGTAGGTTGGAGGTTTTGCTCAGATTCTTCTTAGAGTAAGTGCTTCCCTTTGTTTAGGACACCTGGTTCACTCAATCATTTTTTACTGTTACATTGATTTATCAATTGGGCCCATAGAGATCAAAGCTGGCCCGGCCATTATGACATAGATGTCTGTACATCCTTTTAAGAAAAGGAAATGCTCCCTTCAAGACAGGTGTCTGTCCTTGAGATAGATCTTCTTTTTCCTTCTTTTCTTTTGTAAACATTTTTGTGCTCAAAGCAGTTATTTTTTTCTGAACGTTTAATTCCTAACATAAATCTTTCTTTTAGTGTGTTCTTGTTCCCAGAGTTCAGTAAGTATTTGAGTAAGCAGACAAGGTTAGAGAGAAAGAACTGTTCTCCATACATTCCTCATCTTCCTCTTCTCCTCTTCCTCTTCTCCTTCTTCTTCTCTTCTCCTTCTCCTCCTCTTCCTCCTCCTCTTCTCTTCCTTCTTCCTCCTCCTCCTCCTCTTTTTCTTCATCATCATCATCACCATTGTCCTAAATGTTGCCTTATTGAGGCACTATAAGGCTTAAAGCAAAGAAACTAGTGATTATGTGCTTTTGAACAAGTTATTCATGAATTCAGGATTTGTCTGTGAATTCCTCACTGCTGTTTCCTGGCTATCCTGACTTACCTGACTTAACTGTATTTGACTCATCCAAATTACTTTTCTTGGTATCATGGAAAGCATCTCCTGACCTCCTGTTGTTTTTACCTTCCTCCTCCCAATAGCTCCTGGATTGTTTTGTGATTCCAGTGGTGATTTTGCTCTCCTGGTTCTTCCTGCTGATCCGGTACAAGGCTGTGCATTTCATCGGCATCGTTGTCTGCATCCTGGGAATGGGATGCATGGTAGGAGCAGATGTGCTGGTGGGAAGGCATCAGGGAGCAGGTGAGTCTGAATGTTCACTTGGTTGCTTCCTTCCTCCTTGGGGTGAGGCCAGGACCGGAAATGGAATGTCTGTGGTTAGGTAGAAACAAAAATTTCAGGAACCGAATCTTCCCAAGATCTGTGTCCTGTTCATGTTGGCTTCATATCTAAAATAGACGTCACTTAATACATGTTTCTAGAGTGAAAGATGCAAAACACAGCTGTTATGCCCTCCCTACATGAATTCAGAAATATTCAGACAGTCCTTCAAAGCTGAGCCATCATTTATTTATAGGCAGTTTTAGAAGCCAGAATTACTGGGCTGGACTTGATGGTCAGAGGTGGAAATACTGGGCCAGGATGCTTCATTTATGAGGAAGAGCTAAGTTTAAGTCTCCTCCTGCCTGGGTTTTGTTTGATGAGAGAAGGAATTATTGGAGTCAAATCTCTCAGACTTATTAGGAAAAACTTTGTAATTATGTCAGCTATGTCTGTGCTGCTGGGGATTCCTGACTGGTCCACTGTAAAGCACTGCAGTTCTTTAAGACAGCCCCAAATCCATGAACTGTAGAGGGGTCTGGAAAGACAACAAAAGGACTTCCTTTGTTAACACTGGGAGTGAACTAGGAAGTATCCATTTTTGTATAGTTCTTGAGATTGCCTTTTCTTCTAGGAAATTAAATAATAAAGAGTCAAAATTGGAGCATTTCACTTTATGAGACCGGTCCTATGACGTCTCTGAAATGGTGCCATTTACATCGCACCTTTGAACTTTATAGCTAAAAAGGACCTTGTTCAGCTTTTTTATATATGGCATATGAAAACATCAAGATCCAAGAAAGCCAAGTGAATTGCTTCAGGTCACAGAGCTCAGAGACTTTAGACACCCCCCCCCCGCCCCCGCCAAGACTCTTGACCTCCAGGGCAGGCTTCCCTACCCTCTCCCACATGCCTGAGCTACAGCACAGAGCAAAAGAGAGACATTCTGGGTTTCCCAGAGCCAGAGCCTAATAACAGACTCCACACTGACTCTACAAATGGACTAGAAGCACACATTCCAGTGTTTCCCAAATTCTCTTGTGTGAAATGCTGGCTTCATAGCACTGCAGTAGAGGGCATCTGAAGGGCTAACCTTATACTCCATGTCATCTGTAATTTTGATATGGTAATCAGATAGTATTTTGGGGTGATTTGGTATAGAGAGTTGTTTGGAAGTTACATTTAATTACACTTATTCAATGATCCACAGGCTGTGCAAACACAGATGAAGCGGATATATGTACCATTAGTTAAAAAATTTCTCTCCACTGACCCTAGCCATTGTTGCTGGCCATCATCTTACATTCTACAGTCAAGAAAGACCAGATGTCCTGGTCAGTCTGTGTTGAAGTTAACTTGCATTGACTAATCCTGTAAAAAATGTTTTCTGGCTTTCACATGAAGTGTTAGAATGCAGCAATGATGCTCACTAGACACTGTGTTGAAGATGAACTATACAACTTGTGGAGGTCGGAAGGGAAAAAAAAAAACTGGGAGAAATGAGGGAAGAGCTAACCTGTTGGAAAAGAAATGTACTCATTACCTGACTTATGTAACTGTAACCCCTCTGTACACCACCTTTATAATAAAAGGTATAAAAATGGAGTATTAGGATCATAGTGCTAACGGCCCTACAATGACTTTTCTGTTGGCTGAAATTGGTGGGCTGGATATCATGGGTCTTTGTTATCGCAGCTTCAGGTCAACTTTATAGGCCATTCCACTTATTTAGGGAGATGGAGGTATGCTATAGAAGTTGTTCCTGAAAATATTACTGATATTAGAGTGTGTAATGATGCTTGGTAAAGCCCAAGAGATGGATCACCATGACTTCTGTTTCTCTCCAAAAACATGTATGAGCCTAGCACTGGTGGCTTGTGCCTATAATCCTATCTACTCAGGAGTCTCAGATCTAAGGATCATGGTCCAATGCTATCCAAGGCAGGGAAGTCTATCTACAATTAAACACCAGAAAGCCAGAAGTGAAGCTGTAGCTCAAAGGGGAAGAGTGATAGCCCTGAGTGGAAAAAGCTCAGGGACAGTGGCCAGGCCATGAGTTCAAGCCCCACAACTGACAAAAAAAAAAGAAAAAAAGGTATAATTGTAAAAAGAAAGGTTAACAAGCAATAGGATTAATACAAAACAAGTAGGTATCATTATAGAAATTATTTCTTGTCTTTTCAGAATAATCCCTTCCTATTATAACATACTTATTGTCACCTTACAGTAATATTTGAGGATATTAGTTATTCATAACAATATTTTTATTATTAGACAAAATTTTCTATTTCAAGAAAAAATATTTTCATGAAATCAAATAATTAAACACAGCCTAATAAAAACAACATTTTTGTATGTGTCCTGGTACCTGGTGTTTTCTCACATATTAATCTTTTTTTGGGGGGCGGGGGTCTGGTCGTGGGGCCTGAACTCTGGGCCTGGGTGCTGTCCCTCAGCTCTTCAGCTCAAGGCTAGCGCTCTACCATTTGAGCCACAGCCCCACTTACGGCTTTTTTTCTGCTTATATGGAGCTGAGGAATCGAACTCAGGGCCTCAAGCATGCAAGGCAAGCACTCTACCACTGAGCCACCTTCCCAGCCCACATATTAATCTTAATAACTGCAAAAATTTATTCTCATATTTGCAGATGAAAAAACTCAAGGCTCAGAGAAGACAAAAAAAAGTTGTGAAAGGGTATAACATTACATAAATTGTGTGACAGAAATGTAAAATCTAGACAGAATTGTTTCTACCAGACAAATCAATTCTTACTCTTCCATAGTTGGGACTCATATAATGGGGATGTCCCAGATGTGAAATGTTAGGGTTTAAAGTGGGTCCTTGGAAAATAAGAGAGCAGATCCCTATTTGGAACTCAGATTCAGTAAGATGTACATTTTCTAAGTTGTCCCTAATAGCCTTTCCATTTGCCAGCAAGGCACAATTCACCATATAGTTCTTGACCTATTGATGAGTAGTAATGTTAAGTAGCCTTCCTTCTTCTCTTACCACCACACATAACAAATGCCATTCCAAACATGGTGCTTTCTGGTAATTAAACAAAACTCTAATAAGGGGAAACAGTTCTTACAAAGTACTTATGATTGGTTTGATTAGAATCAGACTCAATACTGGTGAAATAAATCTCCTCTAGGGGAAGGCCACCTCACAGAGTGGATCTTAGCTGAGCAAATATGGAGTTGGAAAAAAAAAAACATTGGTGAAATGATTCACCCACACAGTGTGTCCTCTTTGTATAACTGAAAAGATAGATCAATGTTCTCCTAATTCCTATTAAAATATTACAGATTCAGGGCCCATTACATTTTTTTAAAAATTCATTTTCTTTAAAAAAATTATATTATCACTTCACTTTTCTGAATCCATTCATAGAAAACTAATTTTATTAACCAAGAATTCTATTCAGCCTCTCTTTTATACTTCAGTAGTATAATGATAATTGATAGTCATAGTAGTAGCTTTATGTCATCACAAGATTAGGAAATGTCTCCTTAATGAAAAGAGACTAAGTCATGTTCTTCATAATTTCGGTTATAGATATGTTTTGTCTTACAAGTTGCTCCTCAAATGAACTACATATAATTTATCATTGATTCATAAAGATTAATTAGGCTCCTGAAGATGCTGCTAGATCTCAGCAACTTTAATTTCCCTAGAAGATAGCCCACCAGTCTAGTTTTTCACGGGGACCTCGTCAACTTCTCGGCTGCTCATCTGCTAGATAGTGATAGTTACTCCTGAGGAATGCATGGAAAGTTCTGAGCCCACCCAGAATCTCATTCTCCGCTCCATTCCCTGGAGAGTGACACAAAGAATTGTGTCTTTCAGAATCTCTTCTTCCCCCTCTCCCCCCAACCCCCACTCCCCCAACCCCGACCCCCCTAACCCCCGCGTCACCCCCTCCAAATCATTACCAGCTGTGGGAAGTTGCCTTCCAAAAAATGGTGACAGAGTAGATCTTCCAATATAGTCACGTGCAGAGGTCCTTCCAAGCCCTGTAGCGATTCTTACACTCGAACCCACCACCTAGAATGTGCTCATGGCTCCCAGTGGACAATGAAATTCTACTTCTATAGTTGTATTTGTGCCAGACTCTTGGTGAAGTGAGCACCATTTCTTCTCCAGAGCTGCATGTCTTCAGGGCCGCTCAACTCCTTATTCAAAGTGAGCACAGAATTTATGAGATTACGTTGATAACAAAGCCACCAGTGAGGCTTATTTTCAATCTCGGCCTGGCTGCAAACTTCCTGGAATGGGAAGTTTTGCCTGATTACCAGAAATACTGGCTAAATCATTTATTAAGAGTAAGAAGCCAAAACAACCAAAACTGAATTTAAAGCCACTTTTATAAAAAAAAAATACTAATTCTTTATGTTACTTATATCAAGAAGTTGAAATTTTCAACTAAAAAATTCCTTTAGTCTCATTGCCTGAACCTGTCACACATTTTTTAAATTTAATTTTATTGTACAGAGGCTGCACAGGGGTGACAGTTACATGAGTAAGGCAATGAGGACATTTCTTGACGAGCATTGTTACCCCTTCCCACTATCACATTGTGACTGTGAGAAGAACATAGTATTGACTGCTCTGTTAGACGTTCTGTGTCTGTACTAGAGGGAGGAAATTGATTCTTCTTGTCCTGTAGAATGTTCACTCAATAGCTGGATAAATACCTCAATACAAAAATAACATGTGCATATATTGATAACACCCAACTTTTCAAAAGACAGAATTGATGTGAAAGGAATTAGTCCCCCAAACTTCTAATTGTGTCAGCATAGGTAACCTCATATATCAGAACACATCGAGAGAATTTAATAATAATAACAATAACAATAATACCACCTTCAGGCAATTTCAATTGGAAATCACATGACTTCTTATAAAGATGTCAGAATAAAACAGAAGGAAGCTCAATTTTCTGGTGTTCAATTCTTGTTAAGAAAAGTTCAATGAAACTTCCTGTTTCCTTTGGGTCCTAGGAGAAAATAAGCTGGTAGGAGACCTTCTGGTTCTGGGAGGAGCCACACTGTATGGCATCTCTAACGTCTGGGAAGAATACATCATCCGGACCCTGAGCCGAGTGGAGTTCCTAGGAATGATTGGTCTCTTTGGTGCATTTTTCAGTGGAATTCAATTGTAAGTAAAAATAACAATAATTTCAAAGAATGGGATAAATGGATGTTATTGTCATAATTTTTTTGTCCTTGGAGAATAGAAATTAAGGCAGAAAAGCAATCACCAACCTCCCACACAGCAGTCTTATAAAAATGTGCAAATTTCATAAAAAATTAAGTAAATCTCTTCCACACTAAACATGTTTATAACAAATTATCATAAGACAGTTAATGGACCTTGAAGATAATTTTCAAGAAAATGTTAGAAATGTATCTATTCTCCTAAACTAGTGAATGGGTTATTATTATTAGGAGAAGTAAAAAAAATATTATAGCTTGATGTACTGAAAAAGACACATTCTGTTTACTAGTGACAACTCCTAAGAAACTTACACCTTGTAATTTCCCTTTTACAAGTTTGCTCTTTTCTTGAAAGAAAGACTAATCACATATACATATTGAGTGTTTCTTGTGCTCATTTGTGTCTGTGATGGTCTGTTATTGGTAACTGAGCTCTTTGGAGGACACTGCTGCTGGAGTAAAGGTTTGTATGGCAAATAAGGCACATCAAGGGAACACTGGGGCCAAAACAATGTTGGTAGAGAGGTGCCTGCCTGACTCCTAGTCTTCCAGTGTTCTCTGAAAGTTCACTGGTCTAACAGTGTTCACTGAGCCATGGTCTTCAAAGTCAAGTCCTTAGGCCAGGAGTAATGTCATCACCAGAGAACCTATCAGAGTTGCACATCCAGGAACTAAACCAGATCTTCTGAGAAAGAATCTTTGGGAATAAGGCCCAGAAGATGATGTTTTCAGATGACCTTTAAAACTTGGAGCACCACTGCTATAGAGAAGCTTCAATTGCAAAATTGCTCACTCAGAAAATTAATGAATGCCGTGAGCACTGAAACATTCTGAGCCTTTTTGCTTCTTAGAAAGCAACTGACGGAGAGAGAATATATGTGCTAGCTGTTTGGACAAGAAGGACAGTGGAGATTAGCACTTCTCCAAGCCCTCTAGCAGAGGTTCACTGCTGCTGGCCACACACCCAGCAAGATTTTCCAGGGATAACCAGCATGTAGGCTTCCTCTTGTGTGGCTCCACAGTTATATTTTAAATTGAATTGGTTGTTTTAACGATTGTATAAATATGGTAAGTAGGTAGCATATGCTTTTTTGTTGTTGTTGTGTGGTAACTTAAGACTTACTCATGAAAAATTCTGTTTAATGCAAATATAATACAAACCATATGTGTAATTTAAAAAGTAAAAAAAAAAAATCAGGTTAAAAAAAAGCAAGTAGTGCTCATTCTTCTCTTACTCATGGGCTCCACTTTGTTTGAATTCACAGGGCCATTATGGAGCACAAGGAGCTGTTAAAGGTGCCCTGGGACTGGCAAATAGGTAAGGGCTTTTTGCTTGCCTAAGATGCAGTCTTCAATAAACTAGAGAAATGTTTGTTAAATGAACAATGGAAGAAGGGGTACCATTGATCAAGACAAACTGTACCCACAGACTGACGTGTTGAATTGCAACCCCTCTGTACAACTATTTTAAGATAAGATTGAAAAAATAAAAATGACAAAGTCTTTTTTTTTTTTAAGTGATGTGAGTTAGGGTCAGGTAAAGATTCAGAATGGCAGGGGAGAAAAGATGATAAATCTCCTTGCCAGGGGACGGATTCCTGAGCACTGTGAGGAGCCTTCTTGTGACTTGTTTGTCCCTTGAACTTCTCTGTGTTATCACTGTCAAGTGCCAGTAGGTTAGGCACCAAAGTGTGTTACTAGGTTAAAGACCAACCAGAAAGAAAAATACCCCAAGGTAGCGGTGACACAGAAATGACAGCAAGTTGCTCTAGCCAGGAAATACAAAACGAGCGTGATCTTTAAAAAGGGGCATTTTAGTGAAGGGGAAAAAACTGAATTTAACAACAGCAACAACAAAGGCAGGAAAGGAAACAATGTAATGGGCATTCTGAGCCTATCAACAGCTTTAGAGAAGAGAATGAAGACAGTGATTTGTACTAAAGAAACGGCTAACTGATTTCCAAGTGCATTTAGAAAATGCCAGGCTGTTTTGTGTGACTTAATAGTCATCCAGGGTGTCTTAGATTCTAAACCACTTTCCTCTGGGGGGGGGGGGGGGGAAATAGGACAAGGATTTGAGATTCTAGGTGTTGCTCTAATGATAGATTACACAGCCACTTAGCTCCCTCCGGCGGTCCATCCAGAGGCACGTGGGCAGTGAGCACAGAGCTGGGCGTAAGCCACCCAAAGAGATGCTTGGCAAGTGTGTCCTGAATAAATTCAAATGGAAGGGGAAAATACAGGTGCCTGGCTGCCGAAGCTGGCTGCTTTGTTCCAAATTACCTAGCTGTGATGCATCCAACAGCTTCAGTCACATTCTGTCCACGAAGGAAACCAACAGTGACATAAGCTTGCCTTTATCCAAGTTACTTCCTACCAGCCTCCGAACAAGCCACTTATTACTGACATAACTCCCTCCACAGCCCCCTGGGCTATGGAAAGGACTCTGTGATGTCAAGCGCTCACCAGCCCTTGCGTCTGTCTTAGAGCCCTCTATTTGGTATTTCTCAAGTGTGGGTACAGAATGTTATAACCAAATAAAAGTCAATAGAAAGGAGACAAAGAAGGGGTGATGGGGGAAGGGGGATGAAGGGAAGGAAAGGGAGAAGAGGGGAGGGAGGGAGACCAGCTGCAGGGTTCAGGGTGTTCTTCTGGGACTCTCAAAGCCAAGACTTGCAACTATTATTTACAAATACTGCCTTTTGGTACTTCATACACAGTGGTCTGTGAGTGTAAAGTAATTTGATGTTGATGGTAATGGCAGCAATCAAAAAGAACTTGTCCTCTAATTATATGGATGTCCTGGGCACATGCACTGATATTCCGTTAAAATTCAGTGTTAGTTAAATGTGTCATCAAAAGACAGTTCTATCCTGAGCTCCCGCATTGCTATTAAAACGTCAGTTCCCTGTAGTTCAAGATGATGAAGACAGTGTAAAGGGGACACATTACAGAGCCATCTATTTAATTCCTGATGGGAAATGAAGCAAAAATGGCCTAGAAGGAGAATCACATATCCGTCAGTTTCTTTCTGAAACACTTGTCGATCTGGGTTTGAGGATTTTGTATCAGGGCCACCTTTGGTCTCTTTAACTCTCCCTTGACCAATGAGGTGATCCAGATGTTTAGCTCAGTGCTAGGCATGTGGCATTTGAGGAATCTGTGTTTAGTAAATGAGAAGTGAACAAATGATAGTGAGGAAGTTGGGCATGTGCTGCCTTTACTCTTTAAAAAAGAAAAATACAGGCCAGAGAGAAGTGGGTAGAATGAACAGCAGGAGACGGTGGGTGGCCATTGTGCTCTCCTCTGGGAAGGTAGGAGATGGCAGTGAAGCCACTGAAATTCTCAGGCCAAAAAGGCACGGAGAGCTAGGCACCAGTGGCTCACACCTGGAATCTTAACTACTCAGGAGGCTGAGATCTGAGGATCACAGTTCAAAGCCAGCCTGGGCAGGAATGTCTGTGAGACTCTTATTTCCAATAAACTCCTCAGAAAAAAGCCAGAAGTGGAGCTGTGGCTCAAGAGATAAAGCACAAACCTTGAGCATAAAGAAGCTCAGGAACAGCACTTGAGCCCTGAGTTCAAGCCTCAGGATTGGCGGGGGAAAAAAAAGACGTCATGGAGACATCATTGGAGGTCAGACTCTCTCACCTTCCACAAACTCCTTGGAAAGTCACTTAAGAGTAACCCAAGAAAATAGAATCCAAGATTTCCTATGCTCTGTCATGAGTTGTTCTCTCCCTCCTCATTTTACAACACTACTCCACCCCATGCAGTCTCTCAGACAGGTCTGCTTCTATGCCATCACTTTAACCATGCCAGAGAGGGGAGGAGGAACATCATTGGATCCCAAAGAAATGAAGTAAAATACAGGCAGCATACGCAAATATACAAATACGTGCTATATCCATGTATCATAATACAGCTCATACATAATGAGATATTCGTTAAAGTTAGGACACTTCCTTTAAGGCCTACTCCCTGTTTTCCACTGTCAGGGGGCAGGGTCTCTGCCAATGGCTGAATCTGGTGTGATTCTACCTCTGCAGGGTATCTCTATCTTCTGACAGCTGGTAACATGGCCTCTTGCCTGCATTTCTCTAGCTCTTGAGGCGTGAGTGACTTCTCCTGCTGTCCCACTCTCTGCTTGCCTCCTCATCCCTGATCCCTTACCACCCACTCAAATACCCTCATAGCTTATGCTGCATTCAGGCTTCTCTGTTGAATATGGTGTAGACGGTGTTTCTTGATACAGTCAGTACCATATTCATATACCCTATTCATATGGTATATACTGTGTTTCTTGTCTCCAAGCCTATCTCCATATCTGTTTAGGCAGATAATTTAAAGGATAATCATAGTAATAACATACAGTATACTTAATGCCGGCCCCCATGTACTGTAGAGGATATGAGTGTATATACAGTGCATGTCTTATAGAAAGTGCTCAGTCTGTTTCAGTGGGTAGTATCATTTTCAATCTCTTCAGTGCATCAGGATACGAGTGGTCAAATTGTATTCTTAGTGAGACAGCAAGCAGTTTAAATGAGAAATGGTTATATACATAACTATATCTATAAATAGTTATAGCAGCCATTATTTAGTTGCCAGCCAAAAAGAGATTCAATTGTTTGACCCATGGAAACCCAACTTGGGCAAGTTGTGTCTTCAGATGCATTACTAACATCCATCATCTACCAGTGGCCATCCAAGAAAAGCTAATCAGCAAAGTGAGGCGGTCCTGCCTTCTGACTGTTCATTTAATCGTGTGGCTGTATTTTACCTACAAAACATCAAAATGGTAGATAATCTATCAGTCAGCCATTATGGTATATGTGTTTCACTTTCTCCCTGTATGTTATGTTTACTGTTCTATCAAGTACGTTTAGAATGTTTAAGCTGCAGGTATTCTGAGTTCGCCTGACGTGTGTGATAAGTCTGCCGTGTACCTGCTTTCCTCTTCTCCTTGCCTCACCAAGTGTGTTTGTAAAGCCACACCTCTTCTCTAAGCCCACCCATGACATATCCAGCTCCCTAATGGACAGATTCTCATGCATGCACTTGTGCGTTTGAAACTAACACAGAACATTTACGTCCCTATGAACACCAAGTGCTCTTTATCTTCATAAATGGCATCGTGCTTCCTTCAGTTTTCATGTTAGCCATAACCATGGCAACCTTAATACCCTCTCTTTCTTTCACTGCCCACCTCCAGCCCATCCTCAGGGCTTGCTGAGTCTTCAGAGACCCACCTCCTTTCTTCTCCCTTGCCCTTCCGAGCAAGCACCAGTGAGCCATTAGCCTCTTGCCCAAATGAGGACGCTCACTTCTCACTCATCTCCTCCCTCCCTCCTTCACAGAGTAGCCAATGTCAAATGTTTATCCTGTCACAGGTATTGGGGACGAGGAGACTGAGGCAGGAGGAATGAATTGTCTGGGCTATATAACAAGACCATAGGATCTCAAGAAATAAAAAAAAATTAAAGGAGATTTGATTTTGTCAGACATTTGCTACAAACTACTCAACAGCTTCCTATTGTGACTAGATATGATACAAATTTCTTCCAGAGCACAAGGGCTGACTATAACCTACCTCCTTCCTGATTTTTCTACTTTACTTCTGGCTAGTGACCCTTTGATCATTCTGAGCCTTGAAGGTCCTAGAATGTGTCACATCATTCTCAGAAATTTTTCATATGCTTATCTTTTGCCTAAAATACTCATTCCCTACCTCCTCCAATATCCTGTTAGTCCTTCCTATTCAAGGTAAATACAGTCTCCACAAAGCAGCCATAAGTGTCCATTTTACTAAAGCAAGCAAGCCTCCTGACACTCTCTGTAAGAACCCTGTTCTTCTTGCATAGTACCAACAGCAACTCAAAGTTCGTCATCTCCTCTGCATTTCATTGTATTCCTAGTGCATGGCGCAGGGCCAAGTGCATGGTAGAACTCAGAATAATGGATGAATAAGGGAGTAAATATAAAACATCAGAGCCATGTGTGGTATGCCAAATAACATGAATATGGTGGAGAGGTAGGATTCTGGAAGTTTCTAACCCAGTCATGGTATGATCCAAATCAATGAGGCTTTTAAAAAAGAAGACAGAAGGAAGGTAGGAGGGGAGGGAGAGCAAGCTGTCCTGATTATATCCAAATTTGATCATTTTAGTGAATTAATTTAAATACGAATCTTGTTCCTAATCTATTAACCACAGATTTCTTTAAGGAACATTGAATTAATTTTTATATCTTTCATGTAATAGTCATACATCATCTAGTATTCATGGCATTTTTAGTAACTTGATTAAAAGGAAAATGAATTATAAGTAGGATGAAATTCAACTTCAGGGGAAGTTGACTACTTTTAGGAAATTACAACTTCTGATGGAGAATCAGAATCACCTGATAGTAGTGACAAAACATACACACAAGGTCTCTACTTGACTGAAATAGGAAATGGGGGAATCCCGCTCCTCTTAGCATGGAGGGCAGGTCCGCCACGCTAGAGGGGGCTATTGTACTGTTTGTTCATTTAATGATCAAAAGAATTTTTACAGATGTCTGATGTGTCTTTTCTTAAACTTGGAACCAAAACTTATATAGAACAAGGAACTGTGCCCTTAAATACTTTGCATGGGGACATGCCGAATTTTTTTCTGGAAAAATCGCTCATTTTTATACAGAGGCTGAATACCCAGCCCCTGCCAAATTCCTCTCACATTCGCAGGATTCAGATCAATCATCCACAGCCCACACTAGGCACATTGAATCGAAGAGTCCTTTGGAAAGGTTGCTTTTATTGCACTGTAATCCCCAAAAAATAATTATCTGAAGTATGCCTTATCATCTTTCTAGGTAAAGAAATGAAGCATTTCTTTTCTGAATTTGCATTGTATCATCATCTGTAAAGATAGAACCTAGAATGAGCAGTGAACTCCTGCTTGGGACTATGAAAACTGCATGAGTATTAACTACTGTGTAGGTTTTGAGAGAGAGGAAGAGAGGAGGGTTTGAGGATATATTTTCAAAGTATCTCACAACCTATGAGAATCCATAGAAAAGCTGAGGTGAGGGTAAGGCTCCCTATTTGGGGGGCACAACTGAACAGAATCCCAAACTTTTGAAAAAATTGACAAGACTTTCTGGGTTTAGAGGGATGATCTGCCAAAGACACCACCATCCTCTGCAATCTTTTTTGTTCCCCTGGTCTTGGGACTCAAACTCAGCCTGGGCACTGTCCCAGTGCTCCTTTTGCTCAAGGCTAGCACTCTACCACTTGAGCCACAGCTCCACTTCAGGGTTTTCCTGTGATTAATTGGAGGTAAGAATCTCATGGACTTTTTTGTCCTGGTTGGTTTCAAATTACAATCTTCAGATCTCAGCCTCCTGATTAGCTAGGATTACAGGACTGAACCACCAGCGCCAGCCTCTCTTGCAGTCTTCTAACTCCAGATCTCTCTGGACATATAATCTCATCCATTTCAAAACTATGTAATTGTTCGTTGTTGTGAACCATACATAATACCGAGAAGTTTTGTCTTTATTTTGCAAATTAAAAATGGGTACAATTTCCTAAACACATGGACAACAAAAGTTAGTTACAGTACAGATGGGAATAGAATTCAGAAGCTTCTGGATATCACCATTAGCTAAGACTCTTCTTCCTGGAAGAATCAGAATGTCAGGGGTATACTGAGCAGTGCATTTTCCACACATAGAAAAAGGTATGTTGACTATTCATTTTATTTTAGCTGTGGATTGGTTAATGATAACTATGATAAATATGGCAAAAGTAAAACTATCTTGTGTAAATCATAGATGGTGTGTCCATTCCCCTTTGTCCTTGTCCTGTGGTGGCTGGATCTGCTTGGAGTAGGCCTTGATGTTGCTTTCTCTTTCCCCCTAGGACTGCTCTACGTTGGCTTTAGTGCCTGCATGTTTGGTCTCTACAGCTTTATGCCCATCGTCATAAAGAAAACCAGCGCCACCTCCGTCAATCTCTCTCTGCTCACAGCAGACCTGTACAGCCTGTTCTGTGGACTGTTTCTCTTCCACTACAAGGTAAGTTGAGTCAGTGTCACTTTGTGAGCAATAAATGGGAATGTTCCCAAGGTTAGGATGCCCTGATTTTGCCCACAGAAGCTCTGATAACTGAAAACTGAATTCTTATACATAGGCAGTTAGAAGTGCTGCCAATATTTTGGTTTCATAAGGCAGAATGGGTTTGGTTTGGTTTGGGTGTTTTGTTTTGTTTTTGCTACATACATATTCTGTTGCAATTAGAAAGATAAATTTTCTTGGGTTTTGTTCCAACACAGCCAAGTGCTTTTGTTTGTTGCTACAATTAGTTCCTATTGGCTTTTTAAAAATTAAACTTTAGAACCTGATTTATCTGATTATAATCTGATTATAATCATATGATATATAACATGATTATAATCACATTATAGAGGAATCTGATTGACTAATCTTTTAAGTTAAAGATTCAGGAAAATCAAAACATTAAAAAAAACCTATCCGAGTAAAAAAATTTAAATTTTAAAGTAATTGTAAATTTTCATGCATTCTTAAGAAATAATATAGATAGGTCCTGTTTACACTTTATCTAGTAGCTCTTATTGGCAGTGTCTTGCAAAACCTTGTCCAATGTTAGGATATATTGATACAGTCAACATCTGAAACATTTGACCACCACAAGGATTGCTGGGTAATATAGTCCTAGTATGTTTAGTCTTAGAAGAAACAGCCACATGAGACTTATTACAAAGAAACACAAAGTCACCATGAGAATGTCATAAAATATAGACAAATACTCTTGCACATTGGCACCATTTTATGTATCTATATTTTTAAGGACACATACATTATATAGTTCATAACTTTTTTTTTGGTCAGTCATGAGGCTTGAACTTAGGGCCTGGCACTGTCTCTGAGCTCAAGGCTAACACTCATGGACTTTCCTGCCTGGGCACAATTCTCAGATCTCAGCCTCCTGATTAGCTAGGATTACAGCATTACAAGCATAATCCACCAGCATCCAGTGTTCATAACTTTTAATAAAAACTTAATAACATTGTGTATAGTTTTGTTACATTGTATTTTAACTTAATATATATGTTTTCCTTGTCATTTAATATCTCTGTATAATATTAATTCTAGTTAGTGCTTCTCCTGTCTAGCCATACATCACAGTCACCTAGAAAGAACATGAAACATAGTTATGTCTACATACTGTCCCAGAGAGTCTGATCCTGATTAATTACGAGTGGGACCTTTGAAAAGCTAGGCATATGACTCATTTTGTATTGTAATATGAAGTCAAAGTTGAGAATCACTGATCACTAATGGTTGTATAGTATTCTATGGAATAGTTATGCTCTGTTTAACCCAGAATTTCTCTACCATTGTACTATTACTACCATTTTGAACCATGTGTTATAGGATGCTTAGCATTAACTGTTAACTCATCACATCAGATATCAGTAGCATCCTGTCAATCAAAATGTGCCCACATGTTGCTAAGTACTGAGAACTATTGAGGTTTTTTGGTGGTGGTGGTGTTTTTTGTTTGTTTGTTTGTTTGTCTGTTTTTTGTCGGTCATGGGGCTTGAACTCTGGGCTTGGGTACTGTTCCTGCTCTCTTCAGCTCAAGGCAAGCGCTCTACCACTTGAGCCACAGTGCCACTTCTGGTTTTCTAGTGGTTTATTGGAGATAAGAGTCTCATGGACTTTCCTGCCCTGGCTGGCTTTGAACCATGATCCTCAGCTCTCAGCCTCTTGAGTAGCTAGGATTTACAGGCGTGAGCCACCGACACCCAGCAACTATTGACTTTTAATAGTCTCAAATTAAACTCTAGAGATGGTATCTGAATGATGTCATCTTTTTATTGTCAGGGGGGTATTAGCTTACACTAAATGTTTGCTCTTATCTCTTGTTTCACTATATTTTTTACTTAAATATCCCATGTAATTTGTTGTATATTTCTCTTTTGAAACAAAAAAACTTCCAAAAAATAACAAGAATCTTATTTAAAATCAGTTTAGAATCCCTTGTGTGTACTTAATATAGCAACCAAAGTTAGGAGTCAACAGAACATTCTGTTCTCCTTTCCTGTCACTGCTGATGTATTTACATTGGCACTACATGGCTTAGCTCTTGAATAAATATCCTCTGTATTGTTTCCTAATTGCTTTGTGAATAAGAGTGCTTTACATAAGCAAAGAAATAAGCAAAACACTTACTTTAAATCCAAAAGAGAAAACTTTAAAAAGTACCCGTTGCCTTATACAACTTCTAAGATACTCACACAGCCAGTTCTTAACTTTTCAGTCAAATAGTCACTGTTTGGAAAAATGCAGGGGTTTTCCTCAGTTTTCTCGTTTGCCTGTCCCTGAAATGGGCCATGGGATCCACAGATGGAGGGCCAGAGCTGGAGGAAGGCAGGCTCCAGGCATGCCAACAAAGCAGCCAAATGGATAGCTCAGAACACTGATTTTTAGATAGCTTTGTGAGAGAGATATTAGAAGTTGTTTATACTTTTATATATCTTCCTTGGGAAAAAAATGTTGCAGTCCCTTTCACATTTTTAACTGAATTATTTACTATTGAGTTCTAATAACTCTTTACATATTATGGATCTATCACTCTTGATGTGTGACTTGTAAATATTGTTCCCTCTCTCTGGTTGCCTTGCTTCCTTGTTAATGTCCATTGAATCACAAAAGATTTTAATTTTGATGAAGCCAAGTTTATCTATTGGTAGATAAATGTCCATAAAGAGGTACCATATAAATGTCTATAAACAGGGACCCACATTGGCAAGGATGCTTTGGATTGTCTAAGCGGATAAAAGTCACAACCATAAAAAAAAAAAAAAAAGATGATTCAATTCATTTGAATCATCCTTAACTCTAGAAAAAGATCATTCACAAAGGCTGCATGTGGGAATCGCCTGAAGTCACCAAACACTGATGGTGGGTCCCATACTTACTATCCAGTGCCTCAAAGCTTTGCAGGGTTAAGCCCCAGTTTCCAATGACTGTATGTGTCTGCAAGCCAGTGGCACTAGGACCCAGGGGTGAAGATGGAAATATAATGTGAAGATGCCTCAGGCATCCGTGCTGGGATCAAATCAGTGACCTCAGAGACCTCATTTGATTTCACTACAGCCTGCAGTTATAGTCTATTCTTTCACTTAATTATCATGTCTTTATACCACCCTCTGATCCGGCTATAAATATCTTTAAGTTGAGAGGTGAGGGCTACTTTTTCCACAGATGTTGCTTACCCAGGCAAACTAAATAACTAACAAGCCTCTTCGGCCCAGCATTGATTATTTGTTCTTCCTCACTTTAACACTCCTGGAAAAAAAATCCATTCCTGCTCCCTCCAACAATCCACAGCAAGCAGCCTTTCTGTCTTAGTGCTGACTGGGTAGAAAGCCCCTCATCCTGGGAAGCAAGTGTCCTGATTCTAAATTAGAATATCCGAATTGTGCACTGTTCTTGCCGTCTCTAATTTTTATGACTTTTGAAACCGTGGTTATAATATATTCCTGTTCTTTATTACCTGGCAACATTATTGAATCCAGAACAGTAAATCTATAGCAGTTCATGAAAAGAACAGGAAAAGAGCTTTCCTGGGCCCCAGAGACTCCTAAAAGAGACTCAGGAAAAGATTGACAGAGATGCTTTGCAACCCACTGATTTCCTGGTTTCACAAGGTCACAGCCCTGATCTGGTACAGACTCTGTGTATTCGATGAATAGGACACTTTAAATAAATATTTTTAATTGTTTTTGTAAAGGTGATTTAGAGAGAGGTTATAGTTACATAAGCCAGGTAATGAGTACATTTCTTTTCAACCCATGTCACTTTTTGGAAATGATATTAGCTTCTTCTTGCTGTAAAAATGTAGTTCTTTATCATGAATTTATAGTTCTACTGTCCTGAAAGTCAGAAGTGTCACTGAACTAAAAAAAGTCAAGTTTTTTGGCAGTGCTATGCTGTATGCTGCTTCCGAAAGGTCTGAGAAAGAATTCATTTCCTTTTACCCCTTCCACCTTCTAAAGGCTTCCTGCTTTCCTTGGCCTGTGGCTCCATCCTCCATCTTCAAAGCCAATAGTATGGAAGGATAAAATCTGACTTTTGCTATTCCTGCTTCACTCTTGTAGATCTGGTGGTGACATGAAGCTCACCCAGATAACCAAGGGTTAATCTCCTCATCTCAAAATCCTTAATTTAATGTCAGCTGCCCAAGTCCTTCTTACCATATACATGCAACCAGAAGCTGAAGGGGTTCAAAGGTCAACATCTTCTGGCAGGGGTGGAGGTTGTAACCATTATTCTACCTACTACACGGGAACTATCTAATAGTGCATTGGCTTTGAGTTGGGTCTGCTCAAACACGAGGATGCTGTGTTCAGAAGCCCAGTCTGGACAATGGAGACACATGCTCCACCTGTAGACATACTGTGCACATTTTGTCGGATTTACCTGCCTATTTCAAAGGAATTCTGGCTTCATGCTAATGTGTGATTATGACAAAGTAAGCACTAGGTCATATAGGGAGAATATGCAGGGATAGAGAGGCTCCTTATTGTCTAACGAATAGAGTATGAATTGAACAGTAGGGTGGTAAGAGGAATATAAACTTCAGTCAGGGGAGCCCAGAGTTAAGGTGTAGTTTGTAATTACCCTTAAATGTCTAAGACCAGTTATATATGCTCTCCAAACTTCAAAATTATGAGATTTACCTTATGCAGATATACCTTATTGAAATTAGATAATGATACTGTTTATCAAATACCAACAGTGAAGCATTTCTTTGATTAAACCTGACTCAGGATTAGTGATCACTGTCTCATCCACTGGGGGCTATTCACTTTAAGATTTTTATAACTCAAGGTAGTGCTTCACAATTTTGTATGAGTTCTTGCTAACTTATTCCTAATATAGAAGGCTAAATCTGTGGTCTGGCACATAAAAATTGTAGAAAGTACTGTATCAGTCCTTTTAAACTGAGTTCTTTGATTCTCCCATTTCTTGCCATAGAATTTTTT